TAAAAGCAAATATTTGACAACTGTGCACGATATATTTGTTTGTTACAATACACGCTTGTTGTAGCGCATAGTTAAGATTTTAATTAATTGTGAAATTACATCAGCATGATGTTGTGTACACACAATATGGTATGTTGCATAATGTAAAATGAATATATGTTATATATTTACTATTTGTACTTACGCTGGGTATATTGTCGTTGTTGCAGACCGCTTCGGAGAGAGAGGCGATCTCGAATTTCCCAAGCGAAAATGCTTGGGCATTCGCGCTTGTAATCGGCGATTTTATTCACGACCGGTGTGGTTGCTACCCGAGGTTTGGACCCGCCAATCGCTCGGGGTTTTATTGAACCGGTCTCATAATATCTGCAATTGAAAAATTAAAATTAATTTTAATATATACAATTATTGTTATGAATTAAATGAATAATTATATATACAATCAACGTCGAAAATATTTACTCTATAGTTTGCAAAATGCTGCTTGATAATATGGCATAGGGTATATTGGGGCTTAAAAGTCTGCACATAAAAAGGTCTAGCATCATCTCAAAAACAAGTAAAGTATGGTATATTTTAACAATACTGTTTTAAAGTAGAGGACAAAAGATGTGTAACCAATTCGTGCGACATCGCCATAAAGATATAAACGGTGGTATATGAATATTTATAACAAAAGTATTTTTTATCGTTGTACTTTTTTAGTTTTGAGCTCTGTTATTTAGTTTATGATACCTGAATATAATTTTTAAGTATGCGTTATTTAATTGTTTCATAAGATATATTGTTATGTTTAAGTTAGATTCATACTTCATTTATATAAACTCTATAAAGACTTACATGTGGTTGAAGTAAAACGAACCACATCAACATTTACACTGGACAACTGGCAAAGGTTTGTAAACGATAAGAATATAGTAATTTAATTAAAAAAGCAATTTCAAGTATAATTAATTAACAGTTATTCCAACTATGCTGATGAATAGTTCTGACGAAGTACCAGATCAAGTTTATATACAGTGTGACCATTGTAAAATAGGTGTTCACAAAATGTTTATTTAGCATTTAAAATTAAAAATAAAACAATATAATTAGGAATTAACTGAAAATTTTACTGAACACAGTTCGGTAGTTGTAATGTTATTCATTTGGTTTAGACAATAAAATTAGTAAGTCAGAATGAACGTTTGTGCCCTACCCTATCAAATAAAACTCTCTTAACAAATTGAGATTGTCAAAAATTGGTAAATAAATTATATTTATAAAAAAATAAAAAAAGATACCCATTAGATAAGAAGTAACAAAATTGATACAAAAAAATTTGATCAAGATATGTTTAACAAAACAGAAAAAAACTTTTTGTGGCGACATCCCTATCACATAATTTGAATATGTATATGTGTAGGATAGAAATATTTGGATTACGTGAAAGGTATCATTTATTGGGTATGCTATTTTAAAAATAGATGGCAATAAGATTTACATGGCAGCCATTTTACTCAATGTCATTTTATTTATTACGTTCATGAAGTTTGATTGTGAATTTGTTGTGATTTCGTTCCGTTCAATTGTTTGTGTATAGTTAGCTCTAGATTGCTTGGGTCGTTGTAGTCGAGTACTCAAGTTTTAAAATCACAAGTTTGTCATAAAATTTCGGTAAGAAGTTTTGTTTACTTTTTACTCATTAGAATGTTGTTTTAATTTAACTCTTTGGGGACGGCTGTCTACATGAGAGGATAAACATACTCTCTGAGGCACAGGCTATTTTATAAATAATGACTAAGTTTGCATCAAAAAGTTGAATAAATTACATATAGCAGTGATAAACAGTGTTGTAATTTGAAAATAATGTTAAGTTATTTGAGTAGTATTTTTAGCCTTTTTCTTTGCTATATAGTTTTTTTTTAATATTTAAAACGATCGAGCGCTTTTAAATATGGCAAAACGACTGGTAAATTTTATAAATTAAGCAGTAGTGAAATGAGTTTCAAATAGACATTCAAACAGACAAATTACGAATTACTATTCGCACCGAAGATATGATGAATGTGATGATGATATTATCCAACCAACAAAAGAAGAAGAAGTTGTAGAAATTAAATGAAGAGCAGAAAGACATTAGCGAATGTGCCGATTCTCCTTCAATAATCGAGTCTGACATACATCAACAAACACCCCGACTACAAATACCAAGCAATATAAGACATCCAAGAGATTATTTTACTTTATATTTTACAAATGAACTATTAGACAATATAATAGAAAAAAAAACCATTATGGCAGTACAAACAAATATACGGACTAATCAGTGGCATATTCTAAATGCGAGAAAAAGAAAAAGGGATTGTATTGTCTGTTTGACAGAAAAGTACTAGAAGGAAGGCGGCGAACAACATTTAATTGTAAAACATGTCAAAATCCATCAGCTATGCATTTTGGAAATTGTTTTGAACGTCACAATTTTTTTATAAAATATCAAAAATAAATAATATTATAAATGTATGTCCTTCAATGACCACAAATTTTTATCAAACAAATTTCATAACATATACAATGAAATCAAGTTTACAGCCGGTATAGTATATTGTTTTGGAATCGGTGCCGTCCCGTAAGTGTTAATTCTAAATGAGCGATGAACTTATTCTACAATTATCTGCTAAACGTCTATACATATGCTGTATTATTAAATCCTTAAGAGCGAATGAGTTTCTTTACATTGCTATCTGGCGATATTTATTAATGCAACGTACGGCCGCCTAAGGAGTTTCGCAGTAGAACGATTCGGTTCCACCATGCGGATCATCATACGCGAAGTTTGATTCGATCAGCGCGCCGCGCCGGTAGTCGGTAGCAAGTGTGAAAACCAAAACCGAAAAATGTCGAGAGAGTATCGCGTTACGTCAAATTATCGCGTTTGGTCAGCGGAGGGTGAAACACGCATTTGCTACCGCAAACGCTTCGCGTCGCGTCGTGTGCGTCAATTTTCCGGTGTGATTGTGAAATTCATCGCCGATTCACTGACTGGGGATGAGAGATATTGACGAAACGTCGATTAATGAACTTTCAATTCAGTCAACATCGATAGTGCAAAAGCCAAATATTTATAGCCAATTTTTATTCATAGTTTTTATTATTTATTGACTAACAGCAATCAGAACTATTAGGTTCTATAAGCTGCTTAATTCTACGATTATAAGACGCTATAAGCAATCATTCCATTGATTGCCTCACTTGGACTGATATATAGTTTTATTATTTCTGAACGATGTTAGTGACTTGCTTCACTAACTGTGATATTGCGGCTATGCCCACGAAAGGCGATTTTGCCTTGTGATCATATTTGAGATCTATAACTTCAAGTGAAAATTTGACATCATGCTGCCTGATGTCGGGCTTGGCCGATGCTGGAATCGAACCGTCGAACCCGCGACCAGTTTGTGCTAGACCTAGATGCGTTTTTTGTGAACTTTTTAACTCAAAAATTAATGATGACTATTTCATTTCATCGACTCAAACGAAAATTAACCCTTTTGCTATGAGCGTCGACTATAGGCAACATCCGCTTGAAAACCTGTGTGTACGAGTGTTATCTAAAGACGGCATAAAATGTGTCAAATTTTGTTTCACTCTGAGTAAAATTATTGATAATTCTAATTTGTTATTATGGTTTTTAGTTTCTTAGAAGTAATTTTTATATTTCAAATACATTTTCAACGAATTTTCAGCGGATTTGAATGATTCAACAATATTTTACTTGTATTAACGGAATGAAGATTGATTACATTTTTGAGTGGGCAGTGGTAAAATGATCATTAGACATATACACATCAAATTATTAGATATTTTAGATAGATTTTAATAATAAGTACATTTTTTTCTATTTCACATTTTGGTATTGAGATTAATAATGTATAGTATAACCTTTAGACTGCAACACCATCTTCAACTAAGTATATCACATCTTGTAAACGCTTCATAGTCAATTATATAGGGTAGGGCGGGGCTAGTTGAGCAAATTTTTACTTAAACGGATGTAGCTCCTCAATGAAAAGTCTCAATAAATTGCTATACGGCTTAATGGATTTGTTGTTTATCGCTTAACAAAAGTGTTAATACTATTTTTTGTTAATAAGTAAAATTTGAAAGCTACAGCTGTTTAATTGCAAAAGTCAAGTATGCTCAATGTACCCCATAGGTGGGGCAAGATGAGCACTAAGAAAGTATAATGAAATCATAGGTTCAATGTCGATTAGTGATGAAATAAAATAAGTTTTTAATAACCAGTTCTATATTTATAGTCTTTATTGACAGAGAAAACAAAACTTATAGTAATTTGCTTTGAATAATTAATGAAAAGTAGAATCGACAAAACAATATCGTATCTTAGGAATTATTTTACCATTATATTCAGTATTTTTGTTTAAAATCATTATTTCTTTATATTATTACTCATAGACTTAGCTTAAATCTTAAAAATAATAATTAATTTCTGGAAGTTAATGGTAATTGTCTTAGTGACAGAACAAGTTGAGCAACTATGCTCAACTAACCCCAACTCGGAATTTCAAAATAAAAGTGAGTTTATAAAAAAAAACGTGAGAATTATACCCAGAATCTCTGTGCATATTAAAAGTACTATAATTATATAGAAGAGTAACATTTACCTGATTAAAAATAAATAATATTTGACTAAACCAGACGAAAACTCGTGATGAATGACTTTTTTACTTTTTGGTCTCAAAATATTTGTTTATTTTCACGCCCGTGAGCCTCACTCATTTATCCAGCGGCCACTAGCGATCGCGGGATGTTTATTTCTGCCAAACTTCTATCTTTCCGCCATATAATGTCTAAACGGACGGTGAATAATTTTCGAGATATTTCGATTGCTCAACTTGCCCCTATGCTCAGCTATCCCCGCTCAACCCTACCTTACCGTGAATATTTAGCAACCACCATGGCTTATTCTAAATTGTACTCAATAATTTATTATCACTGACCTTCCTAATATCTTGCTGACGCATCCGTTGGACACTTGCAGAATCCGCGAAATGTCGCAAGGGCGCGCGCCCGAGTGCGCTAATTCGACAATCTTCTGCCGCGTCGAGTCGGGCAAAGGCCTCCCGTTCACGTAGACGCCGCCCAGCTGGTTGATGCCGCTGTGTCCGGCGGCCGAACAGCCGAACAACGCACTCTGGTTCAACGCAGAGTGACCGTGCATCAGATCCTCCTCTGAAAAAAAGGATAAACAAAAGGTAATTATTTGTTGTCAAAAAAAATATTATTAATATTATCTAATTTAGAATTAGTGAGGATTTAGAAATATTTAGAACTTTCTAACTACATTCAAATAATATAATAATTGATGCAGGGTGATAAATACAGGGTGCCCCAGAACTCATCGTCAAGTGGAAACGGTGTGATCGTAACTTTTACGAAAAAAATATTTATGTAGTTTGGGAACTTTAAAGTGTTAGAGTTCTGTTAAAACTGTGACCATTTTTGGTTATTGTGGCTATATTTTATTAATTTTGGTAATTTAAACTTTTGAACCATAACCGTAAATTTCTAGAGAACCACAGCCACATTTAATAACACAATTGTTGGAAGTTTTCAAGAATTCAGATTTTTTGTTTTGTTCAGAATTAAGACTTCTTGTTAAACCGTGAATTTAATATTTTCAATATTGTCTAATTTGAGAGGCCCTCCTTGAAAAAATGTGTGCCAAAGTGCGTTGGCAAGTTTCAAAAGTTGGTGCATTTAATCACGATTGTAAAATGTTAAAAAACTTGATAATTTCATAAAATCCGAGTTAAAAAAATAGAACATAAATTTAACATAATTTCATGTAGTTTAAACAATGAGCTTTTAAGTACTGCCTAGAGCTTTGTTAAAAGCTTGTTTTTGGTTATTTTGGCTAATTTTCATTAATTTTGTTCATTTAAACTTTAGAACCATAACTTTAAATAACATTTCTGGGACCACAATAAAAAATTGCCCCGAATTTTCATGAATTAAGACTTTTTGTTAAACCAATATGAATTTAATATTCTCAAAATTGGTCGAATTTGAGAGGTCCTCCTTCATAAAAAAATCTACTAAAGTGTGTTAGCATCAAAAGTTGGCACATTTAATCAGGATTGTAAAATGTTAAAATACTTGATAGTTTTATAATGAAAAAAAATTCGAGTTAAAAATGAAAAGCTAAAAATAACATAACGTTGTACACCAAGGGTTGTAGTCAAAATTGTTGTTTTGAAGACAACGTAATTTTTTCCAATATAGGTAGTGAAAAATTTAAATTATTCTTACGAATTTTATGTTTTTAAATTGTATTGTGCAAAGTGGATGTTACAACAGTAGATATCATCTACTAACAACATATAGTTAGTAATACACGATTACTTTATTCATCAGTAATATATCTCAAAAATATTCTATTGCTTTATTCTATACATAGGAATATAGGCAATTTCAATAATATCGAACTCCTAATTAAAATAAACAAAATTGAATTTTATGATTCTATGAGAAAATATAATATATATTGAACAATTCGAAATTAAACAAAGTGTTTTTTGCTTCTCAATATACATATTTTTTAAATAAGTTTTTTTTAATGCGCTTAAGTGTTTTTTGCTTTTCAATATACATATTTTTTAAATAAGTTTTTTTAATGCTGCAAAAATGTAGGAAAACTATTTATAAAATCTAATCTAATATCCGATCGTTGTATACTTTTCTTAATGGTTTACATATGCTTATTTCAATGACTTTATTGCATTGTACCAGAAATTATTAAGACGTATTAACTGTAATGTCACAATTTCATGCAGCACATGATATTTCATTTATTGCGCTTAAAATATAATAGAAAAACTCAAATAACATATAAAATTATTTCACATCAATCATTTTCGGTCGAGCGGTGACTAAACTATACTTAATATTCGTCATTATAAACGCTGCAATTACTTCAATGCATCACATAGTATGTGCAGTAGCACCTTTAATTTGCATTTAATGAATTCAAAAATGTATCCGTGTTGCTTTTCGTGCACGTAATACATTTTATATTATATCGAGTACGGTATACAGACATGATGTCAGAACTGCTATCCTAAATGGTTTTATTCGTTTCTGTTTTCTTCGCAGTCCTGTCAAGAATAAAAGACAGGGTTAACAATATGCAAGACAGACGTATGAGGACATTCTGAGTGAAATGACACTCGAGAGGTTGATGTGAGGAAAAATATCACGATTGTTATACAAGTGACGAGAGGTTCATTTAATACACTTTTTGGAGAAATAAAAAGGGATATGGAAATGGACATGTTGGATATTTTTAGCGAGGTACAAAACTTTGATTGAATTGCGCTCTATCTTATATTAATATTAAGAGCTAAAACTTTCAGAGAAATGTTTTTTGTCTATTTGGAACCATTTGAGCCCCTGGAAGCAAGGAAATTCGAAAATGACCATTTTAAGGACCACCCTAATATATATACAGGGTGTCTCAGACCTCGACTTCAAGCCGAAATGTGGAATTAATATTGATCCTGAAAATAATATAATGTTGACCAAAATTTATATGTAATCCTGTATAAAAGTACATACTGAACTATCAATTAATATAACATTTACGATTTTCTCGCAAAGAATATTGAAATCCGTCTGGCTTATCTTATTATTTTCAAAATTTTCCACTGCGCGTATGTTTCTTCAAGCAGTCGTATTTCGTCGCGAGCTAGAACTCATTAAAACACTTGGTTCGGAGGTTCGAGGTATCTTCAAAGCAAAATGACATTTTCTAAAATGAAGGGTAGTCTGTCCCAGATGGTTATTATTAGTAAACTGGATTTATATGCGAAATTCTGCACAATTAAAATCTGACATCAAGACTCCGCAAGTGGCACGTCGAGTGGCCATTGCGGAGGGTGACGGAAAGAAATTCTTAGAAATTTATATATATATATATATATATATATATATATAAATTTGTTTATATATACTATCAAAAATGATGTAATTTTTAGGTTTTTATTTTTTTTCTCAACATTTTTCAATAATAAAATTATCAAGTATTTTACCATTTTACAATCCTGATTGTCCAACTTTTTTTGAAACTCGCCAACACACTTTAGTACATTTTTTTAAAGGAGGGTTTCTCAAAGTCGACCGATGTAGTTCAACTAAAAGTCTTAATTGTTATAAACTTTGGGCAAATGTGTTATTGTTTTTGGTTGTGGTCCTATAGAAATGTTATTTACGGTTACGGTACCAAAGTTTAAATGAACAAAATTAATAAAAGTTAACCACAATAACCAAAAAAATGTCATAATTTTACCAAAGCTCTAGATTGCACTTAAAAGCTCATAATGTGCAAACAATCTAAGTTTCTCTCTCCAATTTTTTTATAGTCTAGGTCTGGAACACCTTGTAAATATATCATTAAACAGGTAATTTTTGCAAAATATCAAAATCAAAATTATTAAAAAAATATTGGTTTTGTGCTGAAATTTTGTAATTTATCAAGTTCAAGTAACGATAAATACATTCTTATTGATTAAGTTTTAGATGCATTTGTCTTACAGTTTGAAAGGTTTAAAGCATGCAAGTCTTGTTACAGTTCTGATATATTTTCTAATGGTTCTATAAAACCGGATATACAATTTTAAAAAATAGAGAAAATGTATGTTTTCTACAAAATTTCGGGTTTTTTTACACTATGCCGGGGTATTAATAAGTCTTACTCCTACTTATCACAAATTTTTCGATTTGTATTCATTGAACTTATTATCAAATGCTTAATCGGGCGTATAAAAATTGTAATAACATTAAAAAACAATTTCCGTTTTCTATAATCCGATTTGCAGTACCGTATTACATATTTTAAAATCCAACATGCTGCATCAAAAAAAAAATCCAACTCGCTACTTGAAATTCATATGCGCCATACGCCGAATTTGATCCGAAGCCCTCGGAACACATAGAAAAGTTATGTAACCAATAGATATTTAACCCCAGCAATATTTTTAAAGATATCATTTGTTACACAACCGTTCAGCGAACACAATGGGAGGTATTCAGTGTTCGAGTGTCTCTAGCCACTCGTGATTTTAGAAATGAATTATAATCCAATCCACTGTTAGAGGATTACGCTCTTAGTAGAGATTTCATAAAGTCCTCAATCGTTCTGTGTTTCAATCCCCTACTTTCATATATTCATATCGCAGATTTTCGCGAGAAAACCGTAGAAGAAACCGGGTGAGGTCGTCTTGAAAGTATTAATAATAAATATTAAACAACTCACACGTCCTGATTTGTACATGAGTTTAGATATATTTTATCTTTGTTGAAGCATAAATAAAATTGTGATAAAAAACAAGAGTGCGAATAAAAATAACAAAACCTATTTTTTTAATCCATTTCTATGATATGAACGATAAATATAAACATTGAAAATATTCGTTATTATTTTAAAAGAATATTTATATTCATGACTAACTGAAAATATTGCGCGTATTTTGATATGTATTATCATCAGCTATTGATAAGTCGAACATATGTCGATATTTGTCAAAATTACAACCAGATGAATATAATTAAATAACAAAATTACAATAATAATTATAAATTACATCGCCATCGTGCCATGGCAAATTGCTGGAATTTTCTGTACTTCTTTTGAGAATTATGAAATTTTTCAAAAAATTGACTTTTTAAAAATATGAATTTGTTTCATATTTTGAAAGATGTGGAAAATTTTGAAGCGGAGTTGTTTTAGTGAAGCGCATAAGCGCTGCGTTGCAGTCTAACGGTTGAACATTATAAATTTTGGTACGGAAACCATAGAAAGGTAACCAAAATTTATACTTATTATTAAAATCTTTATAAAATATCTATTATAATAATTTGATGCGCATGCGTCTAACCGCCAAATGGCATGTTTTTCTGCTTTTTCTTTAGATACAGATTTTTAAATTTCTTTAGTTCTTATAGATACTCTTCATTTTTTCAATACGATTAAAATGTTTTTAGATCCATTCAAATCGGCGCTCCGTTTCCCCTTAAACTGAATTACCATTTTTGGCATCTTTTGCCTTTGCCAAAAACTGAATTATTAGAATCGGTTGATCCGTGTCTTCTAAATCATTGACAAAAAATTGTATCCACACATACGCACACACACAACACACATCCATTTTTTTTAAGGTATGCCAATTATTCATTAATAGGTATATCAAAAATATATACAAAATAAAATCTAACTGTTGATAATAACATATTTCTACTAATAATCTAAGTGGTTTTTCTTTTATATTTAATTTTATTAATCGTAATTAAAAGTATTAGTTCTAATAACATCTTTAGTATAGTATAAAATGAGCATGATGCATGA